AAAGAGTTTTAATTTTTATTTAAGAATAATAGTTGTTCTTTTTATAAAGATGATATTTTATATGAAAATGGTGTCATTAATAATGGTTTATATGTTTTGAACATTGTAACTCACATCAATAACATAAATGCAAAAAGGCTCAAAACGAATTATCTAAATAAAAAAAATATATATATATATATAGTATTGTTGACTTGACCATATAAATAAGAATTAAATATCCAAATTACATAAAAATAGATATCTAGAATCATTTGATTATAAATATTATGATTTCTATGAATCTTGCCTAGTTAGCAAAATGATAAAATTGCCTTTTAATGGAAAAGGAGAAAGGCTTGTTGATTTGTTAAGCCTTATATATATACGGATATATGTGAGCTCATGTCCACCCAAGTAAGAGGAGGACATAGTTATTTCATAATCTTTACTTATGATAGATCACATTTTGGTTATGTGTATTTAATGAGACATAAATCTATAGCATTTCGAAGTTTAAAAATTTAGATTTGAAGTCGAGAAATAAACTAACAAAAGTATTAAGGCACTTCGATCCGATTGAGATAAGAAATATTTAAGTATCGATTTTTTAGATCATTTAAAAGAGAATGAGATTCTCTTTAAATGGACTTCACGTGGAATACCACAAATGAATGGTTTGTTTGAAAAGAGAAATATGACAATGTTAGACATGATTCGATCCATGATAAGTCTTACCGATATCCCTATTTCATTTTAAGGATATGTATTTCTTAATACGACCTTTATATTAAATAGGATTCTAACAAAGTTTGTTGATCAAACTCCATATAAGATATAAAAAGTAAAGAAAGTAAATTTATCTTTTCTTAAGATTTAAGACCGTGAAGCACATGTCAAATGTATAAACAAAGACAAGCTTGAGTCTAAATCAACAAAGTGTAAATTTATGAGATTTTGAAAAAAAAATGGATATTATTTTTACCAACCGTAAAAATAAAAGGTGTTCATAGTTAGGCATGTTATATTCCTTAAGAAAGAATTTATAGATGCTAGAACTAGTAGGAGGAAAGTTAAACTTGATGAGATTTAAGAAGACTCATAAATTAACACTTCATTAGTGAAACCCGAAATAAATAGGTTATAGAGTATTGTAACTATCTTATAAACCGATACACAAGAACTTTCGTAGGTCTAAACGGATTCATCGGGAGCCATAAAGATATGATCTTCTTATCTCTACACATGGTGACGTGTCTCCTATAGAGGATGATGAACTTAATAGTTTTAAAGAAGTAATGTTAGACATTGACTTTAAGAAATAGCATGAAACCATGTAATTCAAAATGAAATCCATATGCACTAACCAAGTATAGACCTTGGTTGATCCACTTAAAGTTGTTAGACCTATTGGGTGTAAGTGGGTCTTTAAGAGAAAGATTTACATGGATGGTATGTACATACATACAAAGCTAGACTAGTGGCAAAAGGCTATCGTAAAAAACAAGATGGTGATTATAATGAGACCTTTTCACCGGTAGCTATGGTTAAATCCATTTGAATTATGCTTGGAATTACTACATATCATGACTATGAGATATGATATATGGATGTCAAAATTGATTTCCTTAATGAAAATTTAAATAAGGATGTATACATAACACAACCTAATGGTTTTATTATCAAAGAACATATAAATAAAATGTTTAATTTATAAAGATTTATCTATGGACTAAAGTAAGCATCTAGGAGTTGGAATCAATTCTTTGATGAAACGATCAAAAGGTTTGATTTTTCACAAAACAAATATACACCTTGTGTATATAAAAGGTTAGTGAAAGCTCGGTAGTCTTTGTTGTTTTATATATAGATAATAAACTACTTCTCAACTATAATGTTATCATGTTGCAATCTATAAAAGATTAGGTATTCAAGAATTTCTCCATGTAAGATATGAGAATGCAACTCGCATTCTAGAAATAAAGATATATAGAGATAGATCATGAAGAATATTAGTGCTCTAACAAAGCACATACATTGACAAAGTACTAAAAGGTTTAGTATGAAAGAATAAAAAAAAAGAATTATCACAATATCACATTGCTTGATGGCCAACAACAATGTTGCCATAGCATAAGCTAAGAAAACAAGGTCTCATCAACAATCCAAGTCGGTACTATGATGTTATCACCTAATTAGAGAGATTATCGATTATGGTGATATAAGGATAAAAAAAGTCTACACTAAGGACTACATAGTTGATCGATTGACTAAGTCTTTGTCACAAAAAAAATATAAAACCCTTTTTCGATTGTCGGGCATAAGGGACACGGCAGGTTGGCTCTTATATAAGAGGAAAATTGTTAGTGTATATGTCTAATATCCAACTCGTTTAGATGGTTTGATTTATTATATCATTGTATTTTTATATTAATAAAAGATGTCTTTTCATTAATTCTTATTATTTATAATTTAATAGAATTAAATAGAAGTTCATATGATATGCATTATATTAATGATTAATCAATTGATATAAGATAAATATTAATGCATTTAAATGATATCATTAAATATATCAAGTTGTAGCATTGTCAAGATTAGATCAACAACATATGGTACGATTTGTGAGTATTATGCTCTTGCTATTAGAAAGCGATAGGAGATTTCATACTTACTAACATAGTGATGCTAAAGTAATCACTTAGGTGAATAATGTTAGAGAACATATATCACTATACGTGACTAGCCATGAGAACTCATTTGGTTTAGTTTATGGGAATCTCATATGAGATGGGTACAATTGGTCCTCCGGCTCGAAGTCATCACTGTTATCTCATTAGAAGATTAGTGTACTCTAACATTCATTTCGATTGGCTCAATAAAGAGTTATATATGTGGACGATTCATTGGGTGCATTAGGAATCAAATGAAGATATGTGGATGATTAAGATAGGATAAGTCATTCATTATATGCTAAAGGAATTATCACATTACACTTCAATAAATATATGCTCAAGAGTCTATGGCCATAGTGGAAGTATACCAATAAAGCATAATTGGTTTACTTGCTCGCTATGACATTTGAAGATAAAAAAACAAAAAAACTTATATGATCATAGTCAAACGGACTATAAACCAAGTTTGAGATCATTAATGATAAATTGACATGAGGACTAAATTGTACGAAAACCAATGATTAGTTGATTCAACAACATGATCTTGGAAACTTTAAATGGAGGAATTTTTTTTTTTATTTCAAACCTCCATAGAATGCATGATCTTTCACTCGAAAGCTTGGATGTACCTTGAGGTTGAGACATTCAAGACCTATTTGAGCCAAGATATTCAACCTTATTTATTTATTTTTTTATGATTTGGATTTTAGTTATTTATTTATGTTCTAATTGTTTAATGACTCGTTATGTTATTTATGTTTATTTTATGTTTTGGATATGGGCTAATTAATTAGTCCTCATTAATTATGGATTGTTTCTTTTATTTAGGGTTGACCAAATATAAGCCTATGCCAAAGTAAGGTTGAATCCATATTTGTTTATAATTACTTACGAGTCCATATTTAATTAAGATTCTATGTTTGTTTTAGACTAGAGTTATTGTTTACTTATCTAACATGGATACTAAAGGAGCTAGATTTATCTTCTAATTTTTAGGAGTTGTAGCTGCATCTTTATAACCCTAAGAGTCTAGTATTTAAACATCTTTTTTGTAATATCTAGATAAGTATTTTGCTAAATTTAAATAAAAATTTAATGAGAAAATTTTTCTCTCATTTAACATTTTTCTTGTGCTTGACTTAGAAGTGTTGCAATTATATCTTTGATGTGATCAATCAACGTGGTGACTTTAATCATTCACGTAGCCTTGTGATAGCTTAGATGGCTCATGTATCCTTTTTCTATTGGAGTTGTAGTAAAGTCTTGAACTACTAACATAATTTACGAAGGTAAACCCTAATAATTTTTTATATGTACATGGTTAGACATTTACTTGTCAAATTTAGTTGAATTGGATTTGATTTGTATTAAGATTGTTGAGTAAAACTTTCAAAATTATTGATTGTGGTATAGTTTTGAATTTTTTGAGAAAATTAAACAAGATTAACTTCGGGTTTAATATAGATTGGTCATACTTGCTTGAATTAATTGGACCGTAGATCTAGACCTTATTTAGTCTAGTTATAAGCTAAGGGAGATTTCAAAAAAAATGACTTTCTAAGATTTTGATTTTGGCCTAGTCCTACACTTAGGGTTTGTGTTTGTTTTGCGTGATGGTAAGTTTGTATATTATTTATGAATTATTTGTTATTCAAATACTTTGATTTGGGGTTGTTTGTGCTTGGATTGTGCTGAATTATTACTTCTCAGTTTTGGCTTAGAGTATTTGTGTGCTTGGTATTTCAACTAGAACATTATCTCTTATGATGGTGTAAATAAATTAACTTAATTAAAAATATAAAAATAGATTGGTATTTCAACTAGAACATTATCTCTTATGATGGTGTAAATAAATTAACTTAATTAAAAATATAAAAATAGATTGAAAAATCATGGTATTATATTACAACCGGACTTCTTCTTCTCACACTTCTCCACCTCCTCCTCCTCCTCCCCATCCTCCTTTCTTTCCGTCTGTCTCTTCTTCTTCTTCTTCTGCTTCTTCTTTTAGCATTTTGTTTCTCCTCCATCACTAAGACATCAACCACAAAATTAGTTATCTGCTGCTCCAACAATGGCTGATGCTCTAGTATCAAATGTCTTGCAGCAATTAACTTCAGCCATTCAGAACGAATCAGCATTAATCCTTGGTGGAAAAAAAAGGTTGAAAAGCTTACTACAACCCTCACTGCTATCAGAGCTGTGCTCATGGATGCAGAGAAAAAGCAAGTGAAAGAAAGCAGTGTGCGGGTTTGGTTAGAAGAGCTTGAGGCCATATCTTATGACTTGGATGACTTGCTAGGTGAATGGAACACCAAGATCTGTGGACCCAAGAGAATGGACAGAATGGAACATTATCATTCCTCCCCTTCCAAGAAGATGGTGCGTCTCTCCAACTTTCTTTCTCTGTGTTTTTGTTTCAATCAATTTGTTAAGTATCATGATATTGGTAGCAAGATGGAGCGTAATAAAGAAAGACTAGATGTGGTTGCAAATGAGAAAGACAGGTACCATTTTGATCTTGATGGCAAGAGTGGAGAACCAGAGCGACAGGAAGCTACTCCTTTATTTGATGTTTCAAGAGGTATGTGGTCGGGTCTTCGATAAACATACTATAATAAGTAAGCTGTGTGATGAATTTGAAGAAGAGAGCTGCCCTCTTATTATCTCCATAGTTGGGATGGGAGGCATGGGAAAGACAGCTCTTGGCCAGTTGGTGTTCAATGATGAAAAAGTGACTGCTCATTTCGAGCACAGAATCTGGCTGTGTGTTTCCAAGCCTTTTGATAAGATCCAGATTGCACAAACGATCATTATTGCTCTTGAGGAACTCCGTCCGCACATATTTTGGTCTAGTTTGCAAGGACAGCTGGAGGAGTCTGTCCTGGGAAAGAAGTTCCTTCTTGTGCTGGATGATGTATGGACTGATGACTTCAGAATATGGGAACCAATAAAGTTACCCCTTAAATCTGGAGCCACAGGGAGTAGAATTTTAGTGACTACAAGGAATGAGGGGGTTTCAAAAATGATGGATGCAGCTTACATGCTCCCTCTAGGGAAACTGTCTCCTGAGGATTCTTGGTCATTGTTTAGTAAATTTGCTTTCTATGGAAAGAGCAGAAGATATTGTTAGAGAAATTGCAGACAAGTGCCAAGGTCTGCCTCTAGCTCTTAAGTCTTTAGGGAGTCTAATGCGCTTAAAGGAAATGAAACAAGCTTGGGAGAATGTCCTTCATAGTGAAATATGGGAATTGGAAGAAGCCGAAAGGGGAATTTTTCCTCCTCTGTTATTGAGCTATTATGACTTGTTATCCCCATTGAAACGTTGTTTTGCATATTGTACTATTTTCCCAAGGGATCATAAGATATAGAAAGACACTTTGATACAACATTGGATGGCTCAAGGTTTCCTTGTCCCAACAGGAAGTGTCGAAATGGAGCAAATAGGTGCAGAGTATTTTGATAACTTGGTAATGCGGTCATTCTTTCAAGATTAGGAGAGAGATACGGATGATCGCAGCATAGTTACTTGCAAGATGCATGACATTGTGCAAAGCTTAGCCCAGTTTCTTTCAAAGAACGATTGCTACGTTATTGAGTTTGATGAGAAAAATGTGCCAGAGTTGGATGCTTTGCATGCAAAAGCCCGTCACATGACCTTAATGGGTAGAAAGCAACATTTTTATCCCTCCATTTACAACTTGAAAAATCTGCGTACGCTGCAGGTGCTGCAAAAGGATATAAAGACAGCTCCTCCTGATTTATTTTGTAGCATGATGTGCCTTAGGAGATTGGATTTGAGCCTTACTTCAATAACAAAACTCCCAAGTGCTGTTGTTAGGCTTTTTCATTTAAGATGGCTCAATTTGTCTCGCTTGAATCTGGTAGAGTTGCCTGATAATATCTGTAAGCTGTATAATTTGCTGGCCTTAAACCTTCATTGTTGCAAACGTCTTCGTAGACTACCTGGAGATCTTGGGAAACTGATCAACCTGAGATATCTTAATATAAAAGAGACTGAAAGCCTTGGCATTTTGCCACATGGAATTGGGAGATTAAGCAACCTCCGCACATTAAGCAAGTTTAGTATTGGTGAGAATGGGGAAGGATGTAATGTTGGAGAACTAAAAAACCTCAATCATCTCAGAGGGCATCTTGAAATAAGTGGGCTAGGGAAGGTCCCTGATGTGAATGAAGTGACAGAGGCAAACTTGAAGAATAAGGAGCACCTACGCAGTTTGGATCTAGCATTCTCATTCGGAGTGCAAGAGGTCATCACAAATGTTATTGAAGCTTTGCAACCACATCCTAACTTGGAAGTTTTACTTGTTTATGACTACGGTGGATCAATTTTCCCTAGCTGGATGACATTGCTTACAAAGCTGAAAGATTTGAAACTCCTCAGCTGTGTAAACTGCAAGAAGTTACTCCTTTAGGGAAACTGTGATCTCTAGAAAAACTTCTAATAGGACACTTCAATAATGTAAAACGTGTGAGTGTTGAGTTTCTTGGTAGATATCCTGTCACAGATCAAGATTCTGTTACAGAATCAATTATTCTATTCCCAAAGTTGAAAGAACTCACCTTTCGCTGTATGGTGGAGTGGGAAAACTGGGATACAACTACAACCTCGGCTGCAACAACAAGGACAATGCCATATCTACGCTCATTATCGCTTTATGATTGCCCGGAGCTTAAGTCAATACCAGAAGACCTCAAGCAGAGGCCGCTGGAGGAATTGAGCATCACCAGGTGTCCTATTTTGGAACAGCAATGCCAGTAGCCATAACCTTCCTATTGATTAGCACTTCATGACAGTCCATGCTCTACCTGGAAAATTTGAGGTTTGTCTTTGTATATTTGAAAAGAATTTAAACTATTATTTCTAGAAGTTTAATTTATCTAATTTGAAATGTTGTCATGAAAACAACATAATATCAGCTTCATATTTTTTGTTGGCAATCTGATTTATCAGCCAATTAAACAACGATAGCTATCAAGTGCTAGTTAGAGATTGACATGTTGATGAAGCTTGCCTCTTAAGTGCCTTTGTGGTTGGATTGTCCTTTCTTTTCATTTTGACAACCATGTTAAAATTGGGGAGAGCGTACGAGCAATATGTTTGCATAAGTGGTTTGGCTGATGATGATTTGCTGAAGAACCTGATTGTTATTCATGCATGCTTATTCAAAAATTTCCAAATTCCTGACTTCCCCCAACCATTTGATTGGTTGATATCAACTATGGTGAAGGAAATTCGGGAATCTGATATAGGATCCTAATTTTGGTAACCTTAGCACAATCCAGGTTATGCTACGGCCATTACCATTCAATTATATGTGCTCTGAATGACGAGTCATAGTTTTGTGACCTTTTTCATCCTCAGGTCCAACTTGCATTCAGGTTATACCAGGGGCTCGAAGCCTGTTCAACTTTGGTCCTTCTGACCAATCCATTGAGCGCCGCCCATGTGGGCAAGCGACCAAGCCTGCTTTTTGCAAAATTTTCTAGGTACAAGAAACCTTTAACAAATATATGTACATTGGTCAGGTCTTAGCAGCCAACAAAAATTTGATGACTTTGAAAATTATGCTTTCTCCGGAGGCATTTCCATTCAATCTCTTTTACGAGGCTTATTACCAAACCAACCAATACCTACTCATCCCACACATATATAAACCAATTTTATCTCTTTTCTGCTTGTTACAATCCTACTAACCAATTCTATTTTTTATTTTTTTTCTGCTTGTTACAATCTTATAAACTATGGGTGCCACTAGCTTCACACAAGAATTCACGTGCCCAATTGCCCCATCACGCATGTTCAGAGCCTTAATCTTAGACTCAAACAATTTGATCCCGAAACTCTTGCCCCAGTTCATAAAAAGTGTTGATTTAATCCATGGAGACGGAGGAGCTGGAAGCATAGAGCAAGTCAAGTTCGCAGAAGGTTTGTAAGCAAGAGCCATATTAAGGACTGTAATGGTAGCCTGCAGCCGTTGAATAAATTGCTCGCCGGGTTAGAATTCGTGACAGCACACAACTGCCATTGTCCTTAGCAAAGCCCTAGAAGCAGTCTCACATAATATTTATCTATATTGCAATTTGTTTTACTAACGCAAGAAACTTATGCCAACATATATATAACAACTTGATGCTTACATCTCACTGTTTTACCATGCAGGTACTGATACCAAATATGTGAAGCATCGAATTGATGAGCTAGACAAAGACAATCTTGTTTGCAAGTACACTATGATTGAAGGGGATCCACTTGGGGACAAGCTTGAATCTATTGCTTATGAGGTCAGGTTTGAGGTAGGGAGTGATGGAGATTGCAATTGCAAGATGACAAGCGACTATAATGCTGTTGGAGATTTTACTATCAAAGAGGAAGAAATTAAAGCTGGTAGGGACAAAACTAGGGGAATATACAAAGTTGTGGAAGCCTACCTCTTGGAGAACCCTCACGTCTATGCTTAGTTTTGTGTTTTTAACATGAACTAGCTCTATGTTCTTTAGTGTCTATGTTATTTAAGGCATCAGTTTTTCGGATGTTGCTTAGAATGGTAAGATCAGAATATTACTATTTTATTGAGAGGTCTTGAAATAAATCAGCTTGAGCTAGCTATGGTTCTGGCTCCAGTTAGCCGCGATATCTGTGATTCTATTGAAGATGAAAGTGTGTGACTTGTTTCTTAATTCATAAACCTAAGACGTTTGGTACAAGCAAAGAGCAAGTATGATGAAGAAGCTGCTAGTGAAATTGCCGCAATGTGGTGTGTTCAACCTTGAGTAGTCTTAAAGCTAAAAATCCTTCTTTTCTTACCATAGCGGACGTTGAACTTAAACAGAGAGACCATCACTCAATGCATGCATCGCCGAATATGTTCTGACCAACCGGCTTCAATTAAGTGGAGGAAACCAAAACGCAATTGCTATTCTCTAGCAATAACTAAAATAAATAAATGCAGTCAACGTCAGTATATACCAGCTGCATTTTGCACCGTGATTGCATTATATACAGTTCAATTATGCATTCTTCTAGTTAAAGTGATATGAATAAAATCTAATCAAATAATTTTTATCATTTGGTAATCATTAAATTCAAGTAGACTCCACCTAATCCTAATAAATTTCGATAATGTAATATATCAACTTCATTCTTAAAAACATTGGTACTTTCAACATCCCAAACATTACCACTTATTTTACTTAAAAATCGAAAGTTTTTATGGTATACACAAGATGAGATTTTAAGAGAATAGCAACCGATTTTTTTAAAATATATATATATATATATATATATATATATATATATATTAGAATGTATTAACAAGAAAAATAGAATAGAGTAGGATAAATAAAGATATCAATAATAAAAAAATAAAATATATTTATCTGTCGTGGTGTGTAATCAATATCCTAAAAAGTAAATAGCATTCCTTGAAGAATCTTTTTTAATACAACAAGTTGAAGGTAATTTAGTTTCCAAACTATAACAACCGATCATATGCAAGCTGACACCTGTAATCCATGATGTCTATAGAAAAAATTGTGTTTGAAAACTTTTTAAAACAAAACATTATTTCTTACAAATTAATGGTTAGTAATGGATATAATAAGTATTATTAATAATTAAAATTATTTACTATTACAATGATTAAAAATATTTAATATCATAATGATTAATTATATTAATATTACCGTACCTTTCTTTCATTTAATACTCAAAGAAAATTATATGTAAAAATTTTTTAAAATAAAATACTATTTCTAAAGAGAAAACATCATCATTTTATTTCTCTTTTGGTAACAAATGCTCAAAAATATTTATTCTTATTTAGAAAAAATAAAAAATTAATTATTACACTACAAGTAATTGTTTTAATACATTAATAATAGTTAGTAACGATGATATAGTGGCTAATAAAGATTGCAATAATTATCAATAGTAATTAAAATGATTTAATATCATAATTGTATTAATATTATTTTAACAATTTTTCTATTTAATAGTAAAAAAATATATTAAAAAGTTAATTATCATTATATCTTATATGCAACATATATCGGTATATATCGAGTGTGAAAAATATTATGTAATGACCCAAATAGTTATTAAATAGAGTAAAAATTTATTAAAGGTATGAGAAAATTAATTCATGGAATGGAATGATTGTTATGAGGTTTTTAGAATATTCATAGTGTTCAAAATAATTTTTCAGTGCAGAGTGAATATTTTATGTGATTTTTGGTACATAAATAGTGACTTTTTATGTGAAAATTTATTTTAAGCATGATGAATGTGCATGAAAAAGGTTTAATTTTCATAGAATATTTACTAGACGGGTGTTAGATTATTCGATGCCATTTGATGAATTTTCCGATGTTCTATTATTATTTTATTTGAACATTTCGAGTGCATGAATAGTGTTTTTTAAGTAAATTAATTAATTTGAGTGATTTAAAGGTGTAATAAAATTATCCAATGGACATATGAAAATCATTGAGGATGTGTAGGAATATTCCATGAATTTAGAGGGATTTTTCTATGCAAAGGGAATATTTTTTGTAGTTAAGTAAATTAATTAATTTGAGTGCTTTAAAGGTGTAAGAAAATCATCCAATGGACAAATAAAAATCATTTAGGATGTGCAGAAACATTCTATGAACTTAGATGAATTTTTATGCAAAAGGAATATTTTCTATAGGAAAAGGTGTATTTTTATACAAAATAATTAATTTGAAGGCCTAAATAAGTGTATAAAAATTATGTGAATGATGATTAAATTATTTTAGGAGGTGTTTGAATTTATTATGAAAATAAATTGAATTTTGAAAAAGTATGGAATAAAATTTTAGAACTAGGGACCTAATTGCATAAAATTAAAAGTTTGAGCTTTTAAATTAAATTAAATATGAACTTTAGGAATTCAAAAGTTGTTAAGAAACCTTTAAAGGAAGGACCTAACATAATCAATTGAATAATTTAGGGACTTATGGAGGAGTAATTAAAGGAAAGAATAGTAACTTTAAGGACCAAAATTAAGCAATTTTTGAAAAGATTTATTTCCATTTTGCCTCCACTTTCAGCCCAATTATTTGGGTGTAATCAATGCATGCACAAATGAAAGAAGTAGATTTAAAGAGCGTGGTTAGATGGAGGGACCACATTTAAAGAATAAATGGATGGTTAAGATGAAACCAATTGAAAGGCTAGGATTAAAAGCAAAATGAAGGGCCAAGATTAAACCAAATGAAGGGTTGAGATGGAGTCAACCGAGGAAAAAAGTTCACCTAATTTTTCCTATAAATATGGGAGGTAAGAATAATGCAAAAATGTTAGAAAATTGGAAAATTAAGGGAAAACTCTTGTAAATTTTCCTTGGAACTCTACTCTAATTTTCACCTAACTACCTCTAAACACCTTAAATAACCTAATTAAGTAAGGAATTCAAGCTAGAAGATCAAGAATCACAAAGAAGAAAATTTGAAGTTTGGGCCGAAATATAGAGGGAAAAGGAGGAAGAAGGAATTACAAGGAAATTCTAATTTTTAAGGACAAATTTGAGCTTATCTAGGTAAGTTAATCTCAACTACACCACAAGGAATATTTAATTGCTATCAATTGATGGATTGTTGCTTTTTAATTTGTGTTTAAATGAAATTATTTGAAAATTAGGCTTAGGGTTCTTGGTTAGTGAATTTGGGGGAAATGAGTTTGAGCTAGAAATTCATACAATTGATTTTATAACATCCTAATTGGGCTTGAAATTGATAAAGAAAAAATTTTAAAAAAAAATCCTAAGGTTTGGAGAGAGAAAGCATTTGGCCCAAAATAGGAATTTTAGGGTTTTTGATGCTTTGATTTGTTTGATGATTTATCACTTGATTGTGTGTTAATTAGGTATGAATTCATGATTAAGTGTGAAAAATTGCATTAAAAGTGAAGAATTTTCCATGATCTTCTTAATGGTGGATTCAGTCCAAAACTTGAAAATTTAGTATTTTGATTCCTTTGCTTATTTAATGAATTATTGGTTAATTAGGAGTTTTTTAAGTATGAATTGATGAATGAGAATGAGAAATTTTATAAAAATTGAATAATTTCACCTAATTAGCCTAGGCCCATATTCGATCCAATTTAGGAAGAAATTAGGGTTTGATTCCATTTGATTAGTTATGATTTAATTGGTTAATTTGAAATTAAAATAATGTAAAAAGATGAATTAGGAATAGAAATTGCATTGAAATTGGAAAATTAATCTAGATTACTCAAATTAGAGTTTTAGCGCATTAGGCCCAATTTAGGGTTTATATACGTAATTAGTTTATGAATGCTTAATTAATTAAGTTCAAAATATGATAATGTACTTGAATGAGCTAACATGAGAAATTAGCATTGAAATTGGAAGAAAATCACTTAGCTTAAGTTTAAGGCACACCTCCTTATATATATATAGGTTTTTCTTTCTTTTAATTAATTACTAGCTAAATACCCACGCGTTGCAGCGGGTAAGTTTATCATATCTATGTTTTAATATTTTAAATAATTTAAAAATATAAATATAAAATAAAAATTAATTAATACTCATTGTAAAAAAATTATTTAAGTTAATATATATATATATATATATATATATATATATATATATATATATATAATTGAATTGAAATATTTCTTAGGAATATTTTTATTTTGACAGATAAAAATTATATGCAATTAATTAATTATTTTAAAAAAATCCAATTAGAAGGAGGTGTTTAATCAATTTATATTAGAAGAATATTTAATTTTAGTTCATGAATATTGATAAAAATAGACAAGGTAACCATTGATGATGGGAAAAAAAATTATTTTTATTAAATAATAATTAATGAAAAAACCAAGTCCGAAAAAAAATGATAGGGACCTTTTGGTAATATTCATGAAAATTAGGGACTATTTTATATAAAACAATAACTTAGAGGACCAAAATGTAAAATATTAACAAATTGACAAAAAAAAAATCACTTATTTTTATAAAAAAAAAATGATGTCATTTTAGTTTCACTATAAGGCTTAACTACAGTGAAATCCTATTTTATTTTAGTATATGTATAATTTATTTATATGCGTAAATGTGGTGGGCCGCTTTCTGCCACCTTATCATCAACATGCATATCCAAACACCTCCAAACGATTAGTTAGTATTACTTCTATTTTTCACTTGCATATATGCATAAGCTAATCATATTATAGAATATATTATATTGAATATAATTTTCGTATAAATATATGCGTGTAAGTCAGAAAAAAAAAAGCACGCTTCCTTCCTACTATTTTTCCTTGTTTTTTAAAAGATTTCAGAAAGAAACTTTATACTAACTACTTATATTTTCAAATGTTGAATAGAGTAAATTATAAATTAGTCTCTCTAGTTTTATGGAAACGCATTAATTAGTCTTCATAGTTTTAAGAAATAATTATTTAATTTTTAGAATTTTAAATATTTTCGTATCTTAATCCTCTTTGAAAAAAAAATGAAAAAACTGAAACAAATATTGAAGGATTGATGAGAAGATGATATTTTTAAAATAAATTAATATTAAAACAAGCATGATCAACCTGATCAGAGGATTATATAATTAGTTTTCAAATAAAAAGATTAATTAATTTATTTTTTGAAAATAAAATGACAATAGATAAACAGAAAAAAGAAAAAGTTTGAATATTTCCTGAGTAAATTCTTCCAAATAAACGGTTAATCACCCACACATAACATATTCCTCCTAATTAGTCAGACCTGACTTCCAAAGAAGCAAATTTGACCAATGCAAAGCACCAATTCCAAATTGAGGCAACCTATTGTCCGTACAGTAACAACCTTAACAGAAAAACTACACCGACCTATGTTGTCATCGACAACAACGATCTTAGAATCTTACATCCAACCTCATAAAACCGACACCATTTACGCCAAAAACAGAACACTCGACAGCTTCGTGAAATCTGGGCACGTTAGCCTTGCTCAAAAACTATTCGATGAAATGCCCATATGTGATGTTGTTACCTATAACTTGATGATTTCTGGGCTTGGAAAATATGGAATATCAAGACAAGCTCTTTATTATTACTATGAAATGGTTTCCTTAGGAATTAAAGAAACCCCATCAACGTTTTCTTCTGTTTTAAGTATATGCAGCAGCCGAGATGGGCTTTTTAGAGCAGGAATTCAAGTTCATTGCAGGGTTATTAAATTTGGGTATGGGTCCAATTCGTTTATTAGTAGTTCGCTTGTTGGTTTTTATATGCAGATGGGATTTTTTGATTTCGGTTTGAGTTTGTTTAATGAAATGCCTGGGAGAAATTTAGCTACTTGGAATTTGGTTTTACGTGGCTTCTGTGAACTGGGTCTGTTTCATGAGTTATTAGGAGTGTATCGTGAGACGAAATTGGATGGTGTAAAACCAAACGGACTTACTTTTTGTTATTTGATTCGAGGGTGCTGTAATGAAAGGTTTTTCGATGAAGGGAAGCAGCTGCATTGTCATGTTTTTAAAGTGGGATGGGCGGGATCGAATATTTTTGTTGCTAATGCTTTAGTGGATTTTTATTCTGCTTGTAAAATTTTGCATGATGCAAGTAAATCATTTGAGTCCATTATGCTGGAGGATGTCCTTTCGTGGAATTCGATAGTGGCAGTGTATGCTGACCGCGGCTTATTATTTGAAGCTCTTGAACTGTTTTATATGATGCAGTTTTGGGGAAAGAGACCATCTATTCGTTCATTTGTTGCACTATTGAATTTTTCAAGCATAACTGGGAGTATTTTGTTTGGAAAGCAGATTCATTGTTGTGTTTTGAAGATGGGTTTTGACATTGGAAGTTTCCATGTACAGTCTGCGTTGATTGACATGTACGGGAAATGCAGGGACATTGAGAGTTCTGTGTCCACTTTTGAAAGTGTTCCTGGGAAAACTACAGAGAGTTGCAATTCATTAATGACCTCTTTGCTGCACTGTGGTATTGTTGATGATGTAGTTGAGATGTATGGTTTGATGGTTGACGAAGGAATTGGACTTGATGAGGTTACATTCTCCACGACACTGAAAGCATTATCAGTTTCTGCATTTGCGAGTTTGGACAGCTGCAGATTGGTGCACTGTTGTGCAATGAAGTTAGGTTTTGAATCCAACATTGCAGTTTCATGTTGCTTGATTGATGCATATTCGAGATCCGGTCATGTTCAACTTTCAAAGAAGGTTTTTGAACAACTTCCTTCTCCAAATGTAATCTGTTTTACGTCAATTATCAATGGACTTGCACGAAATGGGTTGGGGAGAGAATGTCTTCGGACATTTGAAGTAATGATCCAAAAGGGTTTGGAACCAGATAAAGTGACATTCTTGTGTGTGTTAACTGGATGCAGTCATTCTGGGTTGGTTGAAGATGGAAGATTGATTTTTTATTCAATGAAAGCTATTTATGGGATCTGTCCAGCAAGGGAGCATTTTTCCTGTATGGTCGATCTCTTGGGGCGTGCAGGTTTGCTTGATGAAGCTGAAGAGCTGCTGCAACAGGCCCCTGGAAGAGGTGATTGTGTGATGTGGACCTCATTATTGCGAAGCTGTAGGATCTATAGGAATGAAATTTTGGGAAGAAGAGCAGCAAAAGCATTGTTAGAGCTTGACCCAGAAGATTTTGCAGTGTATTTGCAAGTTTCAAACTTCTACTCTGATATTGGGGAATATGAAACCTCAATGCACATCAGAGAGCTTGCTGTAGCAAGGAAGATGACAAGGGAGATAGGTCGCAGTTTAATTTAGGTGAACAATCTCCATTTAGATTGGAGTTCTGTACAAAATAAGAAAACTGAAGACATTCGACATCGCCTCTGGCAGTAGACAGCAATTGAACTTTTCTTTTCACAAAATCAAACCCTTCTTGTCAAGTCTACATCTTCTGTATAAACCATCCACGTAACAAAACAGTTGACTTCTTTTGCTTGAAGCGTTTGGGGTGCATTTAGCGGGCAGTCACCATATGCTTTTTGGTTTTCCTGTTTGATCTAACAAAACAGTTGACTTCTTCATAGCTTAAAGGATGTTACATTGTTGCTCTGCCAGTTTCTGTATCTGTAAGTGATACTTTATTGAATATGGATGCTAGGAAAGCATTTGCTTTTGCAGAAAATATTTAATTTATGTCTTCAGAGAGAGAACACAAGCCAAAGGCAGAATCTACGAACACTCTGAAAGGTCTGTGTATTTGTTAAAGAGTAAAGCAAAGGAGTAAAAAAAAATTTCCTTGTACTTTAAGTGTGGGAGTGGAAATTCTTGGTTCTTAATGTGCTTTTAAGCCAAGCCATAGAGCCCGCAAAGTTCCACATTTCAATATCTAATCTCCACATATAAATAATCTCCTAATGTTCACTAGGACATGCACAAATCAATTAGTGTTGCAAAACATAAAGAACTGACAATATAATGAATAAATTCTTCTTCATTTCCATTCTTGGTTTGCTGACAGTGGCTCATGGAGTTGCAGGAAACATGGCATGTAACAGCATCGGCAATCTTGAGAAGCTTAAAAACTTTGACATAGAAGAAGTAAATGAGACAGAGCTTTCTGATGTTCCATCATGGACAAGTGAACGTGGGGCTAAGGTTCTTGTCAATGTTGATAGCTTTGGTGCTGTTGGAGATGGAGTTTCTGATGACACTCAGGTGCATTCTGTTTTCTTGAACTAACTTGAAAACTTTCAGTACTTAATTTCCTCGGTGGTTAAGCTTCATAACTCAACTCTAAAATTGAACACCAAAAGTGCACTTTTTAAGAGCCTGCAAGCCTAGAGCTTATATAATACCATTTTAAGTATAAATGCTATTCTTTCTGTCAATTTTTATTGATGATTAATGTGTTAAGAAGGTGAAATCCAACAACTGCAGCGAGTCTTTGTTTTGCAACAATTGAAACATCAAATGTAATTATAATTCCCTCTAGGCTCAAAGTAGTCATGATTCTGATTATCAACTGGCTTTATTCTTTGCTAACTTGTGCTATTATATTACCAGGCCTTTGAAAATGCTTGGAACACAGCCTGTACTACACCAAAGTCAGTTTTCTTGGTTCCTCCAGGGCAGCGTTATTTGGTTAATGCAACGAGATTTAAAGGGCCTTGTGTGGATACGTTGCTTATCCAGGTAATTTGCAAGGCTGTTTCAAATTGCGTTTACCAAGACCATAGACATCAGTGGTGATTAGCATTGTCATTATTGATATGAATTCTTGTGATGCCGGGCCTGTTCCAATGTTGTTATAGTAATATGAATCTCCTCCTCATCAAAAGTTCCGTCTGCATTATGATTTTGCAGATAGATGCAACAATAATGGCACCTGATGAGCCTAAGAATTGGGAACCAAATTTTGCTCGACTTTGGCTTGGCTTCTTTAAATTGAATGGAGTTGTCTTCCAAGGGAATGGAGTAATTGATGGCTCAGGCAGCAAATGGTGGGCATCATCCTGCAAAAAGAACAACTCAAACGTAGTTCTTCTAAACTCTTTCTAGTTTTAACCCTACTAGTATAATTCTATTCCACAAGTAAAATTTAACACACATCTCTCTTTCTGTACTCCTTTACAGCCTTGCAGAGGAGCACCAACAGTAAGCATCTGTTCCTTCATTAGATTCACCCATATGCTTGAGAAACATATCCAAAACATCTAATAGAACTACCAAACGTACACTGTGTGAGAATTAACAAACAAGGATTTTGCAGGCATTAACTATTGATTCAAGCTCAAATGTGAAGGTTCAAGGCCTTACTATCCAAAACAGCCAACAGATGCACTTTGTGATTTCCCGGTCCGATTCTGTGCTGGTGTCTGGTGTTCTAGTCTCAGCTCCAGAAGGTAGTCCCAACACTGATGGAATTCATATTACTGGATCAACTAATGTTGTTCTCCAGGACTGCAAAATTGGAACAGGTTTGAAATCCCTGTCATCGTTCTTTTCTTCCTCTTCCATTTTCTGAGTATGAGAAAATGGGAATTAAAGTGGAGAGAGCTCACAATATATTCTTTTGTTTTTTAAGCATTTTTCTTCAAAATGACAAAATTAAACCACAAGATAAGTACAACAATTGAAGACATTAATCATGGTTTATCTATGGGGAACCATTGAATTCATGAATAAGTTCCTAAATGAGTTTCACACTAGCAAGTATGCTGGTATTATAGGCACACTCACTAACAGGTTGTTGTGGTGATTCTACTATATACAGGTGATGATTGCATCTCTATCGTGAATGGTAGCTCCAATATCAAGATGAAGAGGATTTTTTGTGGACCAGGACATGGAATCAGGTATATTTAATGTGAAGACCCAGGCTTGAGGCTCAATTGAATTGTTAATGTCCATTAAATGTCTAGAGCAACCAAGACTGCGTTTCTTATTTTTTTTATTAATCAACTCTTTTGTGCAAACGTTTCTGCTAATCAGCATTGGCAGTCTTGGGAAGGACAACTCCACTGGCATAGTAACAAAAGTAGTCCTGGATACAGCATTCCTTCGGGAGACAACAAATGGCCTCAGAATTAAGACTTGGCAGGTAATACTTTGCATGATGATGGGCAGTACTGTTCAGACTCTAGAGGCAGGGTTTAAGTGCTGTTTTAATACAAGTTCTGAATTTTACAATATAGATTGTTTTTGAATGTCCCAGTAATCATTCCAGTTTTCTGCTGTAGGGTGGTCATGGTTATGTTCGTGGGGTACGCTTTGAGAATGTGGGAATGGACAACGTTACGAACCCCATCATTATTGATCAGTTCTATTGTGATTCTCCAAAAGCGTGCCAAAACCAGGTAAATCTGTCATGTTCCATTTAGTAATATATTTGTTTCCATAGTGATGCTAACTGTCAATCATTTTACCATAATCCCCGTTATTTTTCTTTTCTTTTCTTTTCTTCTTTCTTTCTAGACGTCAGCTGTTGAAATAAGTGAGATCGTGTACCGGAATATAAATGGCACTACAAAGAGTTCGAAGGCCATGAAATTTGCATGCAGTGACACAGTTCCCTGCCGAAACATAGTGGTGAGCAACATCAACTTAGAGAATAAGGACGGCACAGTGGAGACCTATTGCAACTCTGCACAAGGCTTTGGGTGTGGCTTTGTGCATCCCTCAGCTGACTGCCTAAGTTTTCATGACAAAGGCTATAATGTCATTGGTCAGTCAGCAATCACCAAAGAATCCAGTGTTATTGCTCAGATGAAAACTTCCGAGCTTTCTGAAACCAGCAACGAGGATATTACTCACACTGAGCTGTGAGTTCAATGCGCCAAATTGTCTGCATGTGCTGAATCTTCTTCTCTTCCTTTACCAATGTGAGGAATAGCAGGCAATCAATCCTGATTGTTTGAATTCAAATAAATGCTATAAGTACAGAAAGATCCCCTATCTACAATAATTCATTTTGTATTCCTGCTACATATATTTGGAGGAAACATGCCAATCTAGCGTAAGTTATAAATTAGTCCCTGGCAAAACGAATTAAATAGTTCCTTTTATGTCATTAATTAATTAGTTTTTTTTTTTTTTTTTTTTACTAGTATGGACAATGGGACAATGTGAAAAAATAACAATAACAATAGATTAGCCAATCAAATAGTTTTTATGTCAAGTAAGGACTTGAATTTTCTTTTCTTTAATTTTTTCCATATCAATCAAGGACTTTTTTTTCCCACATAATGAAGGAAACTTATAAACTAGCGTTTCTAGCACCTATGCTTCACCATCTAAACTGCAAAGTTAAAGTGCATTATGACAGCCTCTTGGCTTCTGACGCTAATTGACGTACAAGAAAAAAAAAAAAAAAAAAAAAAAGTGGGAATTTCTCAAAAATAAAAAAAGTGGGACTATATTTGAGTGTTATAACTTTTGTAACGATTAAAAAGAAAAAGGAAAAAAAAAAAAAGAGAGCTTGTATTATTAAATCTCCATGTATTAATTTTTTTAAATCATCTTTTTTATATATAAATATAAAGATGTAACATTATTTAATTTTTTATTAGTCTACATGCTAAAAAAAATTAGCTTATTAAATCATATTTTTTCTAGGTAAAAAAAATAATTTTTTTTATATATACAAAGAAAAATAAAAAATAAAAACCAATAAACTAAACAAATTTGTGAATTCCATAAAGGGGTTTGATATTGTTTTAGGAAAAGTAATATCAAAAAGTAATATCACGATGAGAATTTGAAAATACTTAAATAATAATTAAGAATACATATTTCATGACACACTTTGAGGTAGAAAGAAAATGACATCTGAATCTACCAAAATATTTCTAGCCTCATTATTTTTCTCTTATTTCTCTCACATCTTTGTCTCTAATTTTTTTTTATATATATTTATCTTTGTATTATAGAGAAAGCATTATTATATACTTCTTGAGTAACATAAATGAGAAAGATAAAGTATTTTCATGACTTGAGGTATAACTAACTTATCAGTCAATCAACTTTTTTATTTTATTTATATTTTATTTTATTAAAAGAACTCGTTTGTCATATTAGAAAAAGGCGAAGTAATATTTTATCCAAAAAATGAGAAAAGTAATTAGTGTTTTTTTAAGGAACTAATTAATACTTATTTATTCATAATTACAACTTTTTGACCATTAGTTGAGAAAGAGGTAAAAAAAAGAAAAAGAAAAATCTCATAAGTTTGATTAATGTTGCATGTGGATATTGGAACATCAAGTTTGAATAGAAAAAAGATAGAAAAAGTAGTCACCAATTAGAAGTAACTAAAATGACTAGTTTGTTTTGAGATAAGTTGTCAAAAGTTTCCCCTTATGTTGATGAAGTTGTTAATAGCTTCCTATTTTTATGAACCAAAGTTGTTGGTGGCTTTCTATTTATACGAACAAAGTTATCGATAGATTCCTAATGATGTGATTTGAAGTCAATGTAAGATTCTCACTTGTGTAAATGAAGTCATCGGTGGCTTTCTATTTTTATGAACTAAAGTTGTTGGTAGCTTTCTAATGATGTGATTTGAAGTCAATGGCGACTTCCCATTTGTGTAGATAAAGTTATCGATGGTTCTTATTTTTATGAACTAAATTTGTCGATGGCTTTCCACTTATGTGGATAAAGTTGTCGATAGCTTCCTAATGATATGTTTTAAAGTCGATGGTAACTTATTTTTATAAATAGAAGTTCTCGATGGCTTTTCACTTATGTAGATAAAGTTATTATGACTTCCTAATGATGTGATTTGAAGTTGATAGCAACTTTTCACTTATGTGGATAAAGTTATCGGTGGCTTCCTATTTTAATGAAGCAAAGTTATCTCGTGGCTTTGCTTTTGCGTGCATGAAGTTATCGAGTGGATCCTAATGATGTGATATGAAGTTGATGGTAGCCTTCCACTTGTATGGATGAAATGGTTAGTGGCTTCCTATTTTTATGAATCGAAGTTGTTGGTAGCTTTTCACTTATGGGGACGAAGTCATCAATGAAGTCTTAATTATGTAAATTGAAGTCAATGGTGATTTCACATTTGTATCAACATAGGCTTGTAATCCCTAAAGGCTTGCCTATTTGTTGATATAGGTTTATAGTCACTAGGGGTTACCTAAAATTTTAATTTATACCTCTTTTTCCTTACATTATGGTTATAGACCTTTAACGAGCCTAAACCTCAAATTTCTCAAATAATTTATCTCAATAAAATAAACTCAACCAAATAGGTATAGATTCATAACATAATAAGACCGGACTTTAGTTTTTACATTCATACAATTCATCCTACCTCAAGTAAGATGTGTGGTGGCGATGTTGATCTTCCCCACTCGTAACCAACTCTTTACCCGGATACATGCATACATCGGCTTGTTTAGTGTTTCCTAGATCCCTCATTAACCTATTGTATGGGATAATGAATGCCAAGAAGCCTTTGAACAAATCATGCAATACTTGCAAACCCCATCATTACCGTTATCGCTAATACCTAGAAGAACTTTGATTTTGTATTTGATAATAACGGAGGTAATCGTAAGAAGGGTCCTCGGTTAGCATGATGAGTCGAGAAATAAAGACCAAGTCATCTACAACGTGAGAAAAAAGTTAAACGATTATGAGTCAAGATACAACGTGCTTGAGAAAATATGATGTCGTTTAGTATGGTGTGTACAACAACTTCAACAACACATACTCTATTACACCATTTGATTGATTTTGAAAATGGATCCACTCAAGTATATTTTTTAGAATCCATACATGTCTAACCAAATTACAAGATAACAAATCATGTTGTTAGAGGGATATTATGTATATGATGAGGAAAGTTATGAAAGGAGGTGCAATAACCGATCATTTGGTAGATAACATAATTAATGATTACGAGCCTTTGAAATTTAAATTTCTTGATAAATCAATCATAAGTGGTTGAAAAGGAGCTTAAGCTAAATTATCGGGGTGTCATACCATCAACAAATTAGATATTTATATTTTTCTCATGAAACCTAATCACAAGGGTGTAGATTGGGCAAGCAAAGGTCTAACCCATAGAGAAATGGCCTAATTAATGGTCTCTATTCTCTAATTGTTCCGTAGTCCAAAGGAATTAAATAGGGGTTTGTGTTTATGGTGAACTCGTAAATTAAATATATAAAAAATTATAAATTAAGAAATTAAACTTAAAATTAACCTAACAATTACAATAAATTACTTACTTTAATTTAAAAAAAAAGGGAGAAAAAAATTATGTAATTCGGGTGGAATTACACCAATATGAGGGAAGGAAAAATGGGTTTTTTTAGGAGAAAAGAGCTTGAAGTGGATGTGGATTGATTCGGAGAGGAGGGGTGGAATTTGGTAGTGGTTTGGAGGGGGATCGATGGTTGGCTAGGGGTTTAATTAGGGATTGAAAAATGGTGTCGGATGTGATACTCTCACCGATCCGTCACTAATTAGCAATGGATACTAGCTTCGTCGCTAATAAATTATTGAGAAAATTTTGTCATTAAATTTAGAGACGGATTGGAATTCCTTGCTAATAAACCATCACTAATTCGTCTTTATTCGTCGCTTGGTTTTAATTTATGTTATTTTGTCGTTATTTGCTTGTTATTTAACGATGAAAGTTTATCTTTCATTATTTCATATTTTTTAAGTGATATAAATTTCTTAAGGATAGATTTAAATTTTTAAAATAAATGTCACGATTGTATGTAGGATCTACAAGAATGGCAAGGAAAAGGTAATTAAGTTTAGTAGAGTTTGATATTATTAATTATTTTTAAAAGAAATTGACAATTATCATTAACAAAAATATATGCTCTATATACCACGATTTTAAGAAAAAATATTCTCCAATATAATAAGATTTTAAAAAAAAATCTACAAAGAAAATATTATTTTTAATTAAATATTACATTTATGATCTTTATGAAAAAAATATTAAATTTACGATAAAAATTTATTTACAATCCTTTATTTGTATCAAATATAAAAAATATAATATAAAAAAAAAAGGAATTATGTTATGGATTTTTATTAAAATTCAGATTTAATTAAACATCATTATTTTAATAACAAAAAGATAAACAATGAAAATTTCTAAATAGTAAAAGTAAAATTTTAAAGTCAGCAAAAACATAGTATAAGGTGTAACATTAATGTACAGAATCATGAATATAATTTGATCAGCCATTAAGATGATATAACTATTAATATTACTAACAAAATTATATCATGCTTGAAGCCATAATATTCATTGAAAAGTCAGCACAAACAGAGTATAAGGTGTAGCTGCCGCTAGCACCAGCCTCGGAATTTTACTTGTCTTGTGTTTTGAGCCTCATACATTGCAATTGCATTGAGTTGAAGCATATAAAAATGTGTTTAACACGCTTGGCATGGATGCTGTAGAGTCACCACTCCCTGCTTAATTAAATAAAAGAAGGCTTTTCCTCTTCCTTTGCACTTGAATGATTAGTTTCTCCTAGTCTTTTTAGTAAGCTTTACCGATGAAGGAAGACAGCTTTGATCTTTGTTTTAAAATTTTCGACCAATTCAATCATAGCAGCAATGTCTGAGAAAGAGAGACATGTCCTCTTATGACCCTACCTTGGTTTCAATTTAATTTCTCTCTCACTCACTCAAATGCCATGACCCCATTTATAGTCAGTGCTCACTACCCCACCTATCATGTCAATCACTTCCCTCCCCAACTCTTTCTCTGTCTCTCATGTTTGAATGAACGAACAAATGAATTTGCATCCTCACACATCAATGAAACTTTGTCACTTCTGAAACCATCCAAACAGCTGCTTCAACACCCCTCCACAATGTGCTACACTTCCTCCACTCTGCTGCTTCTTCTGCTTCTCCTCTCTCTTGCTTCTTCTATTCCTTGTGTTGTCTGCTCCTCCAATGCGAAGAATATGCTCCCCTCTGAGGTTGACACCCTCTTCAAGATCATGGACTCCATGTCCTCGGACGAAAAATGGAGAATCTCTTACCCCAACCCCTGTAAACCTGGCTCAACCTGGCTTGGAATTGAATGCAAACTAGGGCAAGATAACCACCTTCATGTCTCTAGGCTTGATTTTGGTTCTCATCCAAACCCTACATGCAAGAACACAGCTACATTTCCTTACCAAATCTTTGCTCTTCCTCATCTTCAGTCTGTTTTTTTCTTTCAATGCTTCACTCACACTGAAACCACGCTCTCTGTTCCACCAAATAGAGGAGCCTTCTTCAATTCTTCACTTCAACAACTCAGTCTTAGATCAAACCCTGCACTTGTTGGTCCAATCCCACCTCAATTTTCCTTCCTAAAGTCCTTACAGATACTTACATTGTCACAAAATCGCCTTACTGGAAGTATTCCAGCCATGATTTTTAGCTTGAACTCGTTAGTCCACCTTGATTTGAGCTACAACATGCTCTCGGGTCCTATACCGATCCAGTTGGGCAATCTTAGAAACCTTCAAGGCCTTGATTTCAGCTATAACTCACTTACTGGACGAATTCCTCGCACCATTGGCCAATTGGGTATGCTTCAAAAACTTGATTTGAGTTCAAATTCATTCACTGGTAGCATTCCTTACAGCATAGAAAAGCTCACTTTATTAACTTTCATGGCTTTGAGTAACAACAAATTGAGGGGGAATATTCCAACAGGAGTTCTAAAGTTGCAAAGCTTGCAATACTTCATCATGGATGATAATCCAATGTATATACCTTTGCCAGCAGAATTTGGTAAGCTGGTGAAACTACAAGAGCTGAGGCTTGCCAACTCAGGCTACTCGGGAACTATACCACCAAGCTTTTCACTGCTTGTCAATTTAAGCACACTGTCTCTGCAAAACAACAGGTTAACAGGTAAAATCCCAGAAGGATTCAGCAGTCTCTCCCGTATATATCACTTGAATCTTAGTGGAAACTTGTTGGGAGGTGTTGTCCCTTTCAATGCAAGCTTCTTGAGGAGGTTAGGAAGGAATTTGGACCTAAGTGGCAACCCAGGTCTTTGTTTGAGCCCATCTGAAGCATATAATAATGTCAAGATTGGCAGTGGAGTTAGTGTCTGCGGCACTGGTTCTTTGATCAAGAAATCTCAAGCTGCAGCAGATGAATTATCCAAATTACTCTTCCTATTTGCTATTCTGATTGTTCATGTATTGCACCAAATATTATTTTAATTAGTATGTTATTAATCCCTTTTTTATCTTAATTAAATTCATGTTTTAATTAAGTTTTTTGGAGTTTATTGTTTCTGTTGGGCTTTGTTGTAAAATTTGAGTAATGATTCGTATGTTTGTCTACTCCAAAGGTGCTCCAGGGCCAGATCTTGCCGCAATTTTATATAATGACCAACATATTTTGTACAGAAGCTTGGAAGATCATATAATTTGCTAATTATAACTTCATGAGAAAGATCTTAGGAAATTAAAGACCATTTCAGCTCTTATGTGTTTTAGTCCATGCCTGCTGCTACAATTTAACCTCTCTCTCTCTTTTTTTTTTTTTTTTTTAAGCTCACTTTGCTAGTGGCTGACTGAGTTCTCCTGAGATCAAATTGTTTGCTAGCTACATATCCTGAAACATATGATGATGCCATAAGCATCTAATTTCATTGCAGAAAGATTTTGATCATATTTGTCAAAAATCTGCAGATATATATTGTAAAATGGTGCTGCAGATGAGACAGTGTCATGAAATCGATGCTTGGTCTTCGGGATCAACCTCGGTAGGAAGATGTAATGATGGTGATTCAGGGCATTTAGTCATCATATTTAATACTTCTCTAATTAGGATTATCGTTACATTTCTGATTCTGATCTCCTACTAATATGCCTATCGGTTAGTGGCCTCATACCGTTAATACATTTCATGTCTTTTTCTCGACGAATCCTATAATACTCAATGACGGTATCATTCTCCCTAGTAATGCCATAGAATCTGTTTATTCTGCATTTTTTTGTCAATGCCAAGCAACAGACATACAGAAAGTTAATAAGACAAAGCTACTTACCTGCTGTACTCTATAAATTTACTTAGATTTTATGAAGTTCCCTTCTCCTTTAAGTGCTTTGGTTTAGACCGAAGTAATTTATTATTATTATTATTTTTTTTTTTTGGCAATAAGTGTCATTATTTTTTGTGGTAAAATACTCAAGCATGGTAGAGGTTTTTGCATATCTATGGATCTCCATGACAGAAGTAATTTATTTCATTTGCGATAAAACATCAAAATCATAACTTCAACTAACAAAAAGATGCGAAATGCATCTAGCAACGGAAGAAAAACACACGCAAAGGTAGCGAACATCAGGATTTTGATGTCCATTTTTAATTTTTGGTCATGCATAAGCAGAAGGGTTTGCCACCAGGTAAGCGTCAACAGCCTTCACCATGGCCAGGACTCCTTTCGTTACATCATTGGCATCTTCCTCGGATAGTAAGCTGTCCCCAATTGGTTCATATTCAATTTTCAGCTTGGCCAAGCATCCTCCTTCATTAGTTGATGTGAGACCAACCTCAGCAAAGAAGGACTTCACTTTGACACCAAGAACACCACCTTCAATGATAGAATACTTGAATATATGATTCTCTTGGTCCATCACCTCCACACGATCCTTAACATAGCTAAACTCCTTGACAGCTGCGCAAAATGAATCATATTGTCAAAACAAGAAAGGAACCACCTACACACCATATATAATGAGTACTGAAATGTAAGCACAAACCATCGGTGAAGTTGAATTTCTTGATGCTACCAACCCCAATACCATCTCCTTCAAGTATAACAACGCTTGAAATGATCCCAGGCATAAGCTTAGGCACCAGGTTATGGCCATCACAGAATGTTGCCTTCCATAGCCTATCTACTGGGACTGGAGATGTGTGCTCTCCATAAATGATTCCAGAAACCATCTTTGTTAATTAAGTGAAGAGCTAGCAAAATAATTAAGAAAAATCAATGGAAATTAAGGAATTGGATATGGTTATGAGGAATTGGATGCAGGGTATAGATTTATATAGGCTTCAGGGCACAATTAATTGGTGAATAGTTCGTGCAGCCAACTTTCTTAGTTGACTTGAGGACGGTTTCTTTCATCAGAGAGGTTTATTAATAGGAAATATTAAATTAGGTTGTTAGTTCTGCCACCAAATTTTAAGTACGAACTCAAAGCATAATTTTTTAATGCTAAAAATAAAAGTTTCTTATCCAAAGATTATTTTGAGCGGAAAAGTCTGGTCATTTAAAGAAATAATATTTTTGTATATATAAAAAATTCTTTGAATAATTATCTTTGTTTTATGAATTTAATAAAACGATAAATGATTAGTTTGAATTTTTTTAACTTGTGATATCCTGAGAGATCAAAAAAAAAGTAAAAGTTTCTTTAAAAATTTAGTTGTAAATTTTAGTCTACCAGCTTCTTAGACCTCTTAGCATAGTTTATTTTTTTGAGATTCAAATTCTATTGATTATAGTTTTTTGGTTATAATTATGTAATGAATGGTAATAAAAGAACTATCTTCCATTCTGTGTATTAGAAGATCCCACTAAAAAAAAAAAAAAAAAAAAACCTTACTTTAGAGCTAGAATAACACCTTCCATAAAGCATATTGCTGCCTTCTTTGAGAATGCCACAAGAAAAATTAAGATGCAACGGTAATAAGCATGAAAAAGGAATGCTGGATTTTTGAAAGGGCAATGGGATACAAACGAAATGGTCAAATCCTAGGATGGAGTTTTCAGTTTCCTTCATTTTCAAAATGTTTTCCTCTCCATGACTTGTGGACCACTAAGAAAGCAGGCCTGCCTGCCTCTATATTCCTTCCGCAAAGAAATTGAGGGCACGTCATTTCATATGTGTACTTGACTTCGTATTCAATAATAGAGAGATTATCAGCTACGCTTCAATCCTAGAAGAATTTGACTATTTTGTCCTTCTCTTTTTCCTTGCAAATTTCCGAGGAGGCCAACCACCAACACACGACTCTAACTCAAAGTCAAATGTTACACCTGTTTATTCTCAGTCTATTTTCCAAATCACTCTACCAACAAAACACACATTTCGATCCAAACTAAATTGCAAGTTCTGTCTTTTTTTATTATCATGTCTAGCTAAGGCCAGCATTGATTGATTTTTTTTTTCTTTTCTTTTCTAAGTTTAAATCTTAAATCTAATAGTAATAAGATTTTATTAATTTTTTAAAATATACTAAATAATCAATATGAAAAATACACTTTTAATATCACTTTTTTTAAAAAAAATTATTTAATTCAAAAAAAAATTAATTAACATACAAACTAATCCGAATATACTTTATCATACCCTTAGTTAATTTGGGTAAAATAAATACCAACCAAAGCAAAAATTGAAAATTTTGAAATTTCAAATCATACAAAATTAACCCAACTTAAGAATTGATTGGATTTAGATCTGTTTAATTAGTTCAATTATTTATTTATTTTTCCAACTATGAACAATAATTTTCAAGGATCATAAATGATCGATGGTTCTTTTTCAAGAAGCCAAACTTATATTGAATCGGTCCAAACCAGATTTAGGTTGCTAATCGAACCAACCTGGTAAAAAATTGCATATGAGTCGGTTAGACTTGTGTAGGTTTTTTTCAGAAATCATACCAAACTCAAACCAAAACAATATATATTACAAAATTTCTAACCAAAATAAAACTAATTTCTATCCATATTCCATTCTCAATTAAATCTCAAACCTATAAATTTTATCAATTAAGTCCCAAACATTTTTTCACATTACTCATTAAGGATCCTTCATCAATTTTTGTTAATATTTTTCATCAAGCATGCATATTTTATGCAATAAAACAATGTCATTTCGCAAAATAATAATAATAATAATAATAATTAACATAAAAGTTAATGAACTTTTACAAAATGACCTGACTGAGAATAGTTTGAAAAATTTGGAATCAAATTGATAAAATTTATTTGTTTAGGACCCAATAAAAAATGAGAATACTGAAGTAAAATTTCTTAAAAAAAAAAAAAAAAAAAAAAAAAGAAGTTTGGTTTAATTTGAATTGGTTATTACGGTTTAATTTCTTAAAAAAAAACAAGAAGTTGGCCGACTCGCTCTACATAAAATGGCTCACTCATTTGTCCGATTAGATTAGCTACATTTCAGAAGGTATCTTAAATTTTGATTTTGATACAGATACCGCAAGATTCTTTTTAGCTCGATTTTGAGTACCTCGGTGTTTTCATTTCTTTTTATTATAGGATAGTTACCACTTATATATATAATCAACAATACTTAATCTACTTGTAAATCTCTCTTTATTTATCAAGAAAAAAGAAAAAAAGTAGCTATAGAAAAAAAAACCCTAATTAACGCCGATTTTGCTAAAAACAATATCTCTATATATTGAATGTTATTGATTCTTTTCAATTTTAAAAGTTAATTTTATTTATGAGACTTTTTCTCATATTTATAACCGGTCATTCAATCCATTCTATAATGATTTAAATAACTCAACATTTTTTCTTTTCACATATCTGATTTAAATAATTCAACATTCTTTCTTTTCACATATCGAATCTTAAGTACATTATTTCTTATCAACTTGTTCAAGGTGGAAACAAAAAATTTGAGTTCTAAGTTGATTATTTGTCATTAACTTATGTGGCATAGTAAGTACATAAAAAAAAATATTTAATTTAAATTCTGACGCCAATAGTAGGTGCTATTGAATATTTTTAATTCCAAAACTTAGTTCAAAAAGTAAAAATTTTGCTTACATTAAAAAAAAAAACAAAACAAAACAAAAAAAGATGGAGTTTTAACTGCTCATTGTGACCCATTTGCATCGTGGATCAACACTCATCTCTATTGTGCTGCCATTCACCATGCATCCAGGAGGTTTTTTTTTCCTTTGCATCTAACGTTTCTTGTCCTCAATTATTGGATTTGGCCAAAGAGTGCATTTTGCAGGACAATATTTTATGGTTTTTTACCTCCTTTTTTTTTGTCCTAATTAAGTGGTTTATTTATCGCTCTTTTATTGTGTGCCAAATTTCTATTTTGCCATTAGGTGGGTGTAATGTTACGTCATTTTATTTTCTTTTCTTTTCTTTTGTACTTTTCTTCCGTTATGGCGTTAACAATTAACAAAACACATCGCACTAAAATAGAATAGACTCTTAATGTTTTTCTTTTTACGAGTTAGAGACACTTTATATTTATTAGACTACTTTAAACATATTTAGAATTTTAATACTTAAACTATATCACCAATTACTAAATACACTAAAAAAGATGTATATTCATTGTGCATTGTTTTTAATTTCACTATTTTCTTATTATCCATTGTATCTAAAACTACTATTCAATCATTGTGCTTGTCACTACTTGCCCAAAAATATAAACTTTAGTCCCTCTTTTTTAAACATTTTTTTAATTCCCAACTTTCTTTTTCATTCATTTGGTTCCAATATGCCAAGAGTAGAGAGAAATAAAAGAGAGAGAGAGAGGGACGACAAGCTCCATTTCAACCACTCCAACTATCGATCTTACCACCAATTTATTCGCCTCGAAGAGTAAAGTCTATATGTCGTAGTGACAAGTGATGAAATGATTAGAGAAGTAGAACGATATCCAAAAATATTTTAAAATTTTTTATTTTAATTTGAATTTTTGTATATTTTACGTGCATTAAAATAAGTTTTGAGATTTTAAAAAATTTTAGTTATGTTATTTCTATAATTTTGAGGTTTTCATAAGGAAAAAAAAAACAAAGCTCGCAATTTCTCTAGCAAAATCAAGTTCGCCATAAATTACGGTAGCCATCAAAAATTAAAAACAATCATTTTTTTCCTATCCAAGCCCAAGCACGAGGGCTCGGTCTTTGTTTTTTTTTTTAATATTTTTAATTAAGAAGTTTGAGGCAAATATTATAAAACATCAATCGTTATTATTTGTGTTTTTCATGTAGTATAGCATGTGTGTGTGTTTGTGTGTGTGTGTGTGTATTTCGGATTATATTACTATTATATTTAAAATTTATTCTTTGAATTTTTCATTGCTTATAAAATTCTCATTCAATTAATATTTTTTATAAAATTTTATGTTCTAATAACTATGATTTATTTTTTATATATTTGAATTTTAGAATAAAATTTTAAAACATGATTATTTTTATTTTTAAAAAAACAAATGGATATAATATATCATGAATGTTTAGCTTTTTTAAATGATAGTTCCATATATATAAATATATTTTTATTTTAATATAAAAGGTTAAAATTATATTTCGGATAATTTGTCTCAATGTACTACGTATAGTAAATATATATATAAACTATTGAATCGTCGACTTATTATTTAAAATTAACTATTCATCTTTACACATAACATCAATTATTTGCTATGAATATTTTTTTAACATTATAGAACTAAATTTTTGAAATAAAATAATTAAAATATTTTTGTAAAAGAACTATTGTCATGACCCCGAAGTGGGCTATGACCGACACAAGAATCGAAGGAACTGTGAGGTCCACCTCGACTCAAGCAAGTTTTGAATAACTAAACTACAATCCTTAAACTTATATTACATCAAACTTCATTTCATATCACAATAATACAACCTAAAAATCATTACTTTATAACTCCAACACAAATCATAATTCAATACTATTCTTGCATTTCTCAATTCAATATCCATAATTAATTTCTAATACAACACCCATAAATTATAACTCGTAAAGCTTTTAAGAATTACAATAAAATCAAAAATTGGTTCTAAGAGGTTACAATTAAATAAGCCATACGATCAATGTGATGACTTCAAGACAAGTCGAGAGGAAGCTAAAAAGGCACTCGTGACAAATCTTGTAAAGCCGAAATAGTAAGGGTAAGCAAGCGATGGCTCGGTGA